CAGGGTGGCATCTTCTCAGACGATTTTGCAGTTTAGATGGTTTCATAGCGTCATTGCCCAAAACTTTGTTGCATAAAAGGCACATAGGAGATTGTTTGTCCGGCAATGATGGAATGAAGCCAAATTTCAAATAATCAACACTCTACTGTCTACATTTCTTTTTAGATTCGGACATGGCATCAGTCATCTGTGGGCAAAATTAAATTATTTAAATAAGACAAAAAATCCAGCAGTTGTATATTAAAAATATTTTTTGATTTTTCAGAAAACATTCCATAACATCTTCTTGCAACAATTAGATCGAATTACGGAGATTGCACTGTAATTATATTACCGATTGCTAAAACTTTCAAAAAGAAACTATTGAGGAGTACTCGTGTAATTTTGCATGATTGAATATTTAACTACTAATAACTAAATGATTGGCGTAATTCATCTGTCTTTGCTAACTACGAGTACAAAACTAAAATTTAATAAAAAATAATGTACTTACTTTTCTCCAGCACTCTCAAACAAAATAACACTGACTCACTATAATTTGTGTGATATACTATCTGTTTATATTTTTTAAAATATTTTCTTAGCACTTTCCTTTTCAAGATTCAGGAAACGAATAAACGTATTTGTCCCACATTCGTATTTATAGAGTGACGAATTGAACAAGTCAGTGCAAGGTAGCGGAGCTCTGAGACTGCGACTCTCAGGTTTTTACAAGTTCAAAATGTATTGCGACCACAAAGCGAATACCAACATCCTACAACTTACACAATTTTATAAGCATATATAATAAATTTTTTACTTCATAGGTACTTTTATAAATAATGTATATGTTTTGATATTATAATATAGTATGATATAAGTAAATAGGTACTATCAGTGTATGTGTTGAGATCCACTATCGTGGACCCCCATATTAATTTCATGGGCCCCCAAATTTTTTTTCGCTGACGTAGACCCCTTGCAGGTTGTCATAGACCCCTAGGGGTCGATATAGACCACTTTGGGAATCAATGCTCTACACTTTCCTGTATCATAAGTTAGTGATATTGTTAATAATTTCCTGTCCTTGACTCCCAATTGCCTTTCCTTTCACGCCAGCCTCTTTTGCGGACATTGCTTAGAGTACTCGATTAAAGCTATTAATAATTTAAAATTGAACAATAAATAGTATTAATTTGGTTTAAGAAATTGTGAGGTTGTCTATATGTATCTGTGAAACAACCTAATACATCTAAATGAAGAAAACCATAGGGTTAACGACAATTATGAAATACTTCATACACAAATTAGACGTGTAAAACTGAACTACCTGGAGTCCTTAGAAATTAATAGACTTAATAATACCGGCCATATGTTGAACGATCAAATATATTTGAATAATCCCGTTGCTACATCTCTCCGTGCGTAAGTAGCTTGAAGATTATAAGTATTTCTGTAATAGATACATAAGCCTTTCCGTTAGTCATAAGTTGAGTTTGTAAACTCATTTGAAAAAGGCACCTTGGTCATGTAGATTGTAATATAGTGGACATTTTTACTATTGTTTAACTTTGAATAATGGATCTCCACCAAATATCGACAAACTCCATAAGATTATTAATAATTTCAACACAATCAAATACAAAATATGCTATGGTTAAAAGAAATCGAACAAACATCAACAATCCTAACTGAAACTTGCTCATTCAAATACTAAAAAACGTTCCGCCTATGGTTTAGAAGGAGTGGGAAGTCCCTTAACAGCGTCAACTGCAACAGAATTTCTGGACATTGAAGTAGTAGTAGAAAGATTTATTTAGCACATTTGGCTACATAAACCGAATAATTGTAAACAACTTAGAACTAGTAAATTCAAGCCATATGGTGTATGATGTAAATGCTGGGCAACCTATAATTGTAGCTTTAACAAGTGATTTCTCAATTTTACTTTACATTTTGTCAAAGTTTTCTGGTCTTTTATCTCTGAGTTTAATTTATTATATTCAATCAACCCTTGATGGAATACAGATTTGTAGCATATGTTATACTTTTTGGTCATTAAATGGAAGTCATCTTTATTTCTGGTATTATGTAAATGATGGTCAACATTTGATGATGTTAAATTAGTTAGACTTGATGGACATATATTATTTTTTACTTTATAAATGAATATCATTACAAGATATTTGATAACATTTTTTACATTGAGCCATTTTAATTTGCTAAGCATTTGCCTAATTGGAGTATATTTATCTTTATTTAGTATTATTCTCATGCACTTATTTGTAAAATATGCAGTCTTTCAAAAATGGAACTATTTGCTAAATATAGAATAGTCGAACAGTACAAGAAATTTGGAAGAATGATGGTAAACTAAACTAAAACTCTCGATAAATATCGCTCTTTACTAACTAATCTTATTTATAACTTTTTCATAATGAATATCAAAAATGAATCGAGAGTCAACAAAAACCCCCAGGTATTTAAAATTTTCTACGAATTCAATATCTTCACCATCAATATTCAGTTGAACATTTGTACATTGTTTTTTTCCGATTAACAAGGCTTTCGTTTTACTTGTATTTAATTTTAGTCTGTTAGATGCTAACCATTTTGAGACAAGTTTCAAGTCATCATTTATATAAGAGATACCAGTCTGAATATCTGAAAATCTGAATTTTGCATTTTTTGACTATGGCAGGTAAATCATTAACGTATAAAATAAAAAGAAGTGGTCCCAGGATACTGCCCTGTGGAACACCAAACCTATTTTCAATTTTTAATGAAATAGTGTCATTAACTTTTGTAACTTGCATCCTTTTAGACAAATAATTTCTAAACCAATCTAAAACACTTCCTCTTATATCATATGCCTTCAATTTACCTAACAAAATATCTCTATCAATCGTTTCAAATGCCCTCTTCAAATCCAAAAATACTGTTATGACAACTTCTTCTGACTCTATGGTTCTTCTCCAATTCTCAGACCACATACATTTTTAAACTTTCTACGTTATAAATATGCGCCAGGCTTAGAACTGGAACACATTAAGAGGGCATTAACAGATGTCCATGAATCTCCCCGGAGACTGTCACAACAATTTCCTATATTCTTGTAGGGTACAATAAACGCAAGGGAGAGGGTATAAAGTTATCACGTAGCGGGCATAACCTTAGGATATTCGAACTCTGTCTTATATTTCCGAAGCAAAAAAATCAGCATAATATACTCAAGGAGTAGTAGAGTCCTTGTCATTTTATACTCACCTAGCCATATGAACGATCTAATAGCATACCAAAACGTATTTTGAAAAGTCCATTCTTCAGGATAGAAGTTTCCAAAAAAGCATAGCATCCTGACATTAATGCCGACAATTTCTTTGAAATCATACGTCATCTTTCCAGACATTCAACTGTCTCGCATGCTATGAATGTCCTGATTATGGACTTACACGGATCTAAACTTATATATTTTGAATGAACTTGTGAAATTGGCATCATTTATGAGAAAAGTTTTGAATACCAATTATGTTAATGACGGCTTTATTCGATTGTTTTTATTCCAATTTGAAGTTGTTATATGTCATAATGAGTACTCGTGGTTTTGTTTGTATAGACGTGCAGACAATCCACTGAACAAAAGTATACATTATTTCAAGATGTGTGTCATACATTTACATGAAATATTGAGTGCATTGGTCGTGTCTCCATATTGACATTAGCTGGCAAACTGGGATTTCAATTTTGAAGATACGACGAATGAAATACTTAGGTACATACAGAAACAGGGCGAGTTAAAAATACCTAGACTAGTTGAGTAAAACATTTTTTATTAAAACCAAAAGTACACAGATTTAACAAAACTTGTGTCAATAGTGCCCGATTTCACTAGTTCGGGGCGCAAAATGTCCGCCTTTTGCACAAATTCAACCAATCAGTTCGGCTTTAAATCAAATAATACTTCATGTATAACCTGCTTTACGTATAAAAACCTATTTTTACACTTGACCCGAGCACAACATTTGCGACTAGGAAACAATTTCCACCAATCAAAAAGAAGATTCGACCAAATTGTTAAATAATAAGCATTCTGTAATTTTATTCATCTTCAAAGAATTTATTAAGAAGACAAAAATCAGTGATCTAGATTGACCGAACTGACACAAACTCCAAACAAACATTTCAAGTTATAAAATTAAGTTAAATCGACCAAAAAATAGGTTAAAAATATTGCATGATCAATTTAACTTCCAAGCTTTGGTTTTTTTCTCAAAGTGGGGAATAAAACCAAAGTAGTTTAGAAGGATATAAACAACTATTTAGGTTATTTTGTGGTGAAAGTAGTAATTTTGTTCTATAAAATCACATGTCTGACCTATGTTTAACAACAAATGAAACATACTATGTCGCTCCTTTTGCTCATACATTCAGCTTGCTGGTAATCTATGCGCATGTTGGGTCTCTTTTAATAACTTTAGGCCTCTTCCGGCTTAAATTTTCATTAAATATCAGTGAGAGGCAGGGGGTAACCAAAAGAATCCTTGTAATCTCAAGCTGTACAATAGGGTTGTTTTTTACTAATCTATGTTGCAAACTTAAAATGAATTTTTATTGGTCATTAATAAGATAATTTTTACTTACAAATATGCCCAAAAAAGAACCTAACACTGAGGGCATATCTTATGTTAATATTTGGTAAGCTATAACCTGTCGATTTGTCTTCGAAGTCAATAATTAAGTACTTCTTAGAAGTTTGTTTCTGTAGTTCTCAACCAACCAATTTAACCTCTTTGGTCAAAGCTAATTTGGTATGCAGTTTCCAATTTTTGACAAAGGATTCAACTCTCAAGACAATTCAACTTTTGAGGACATCATTCATGGATATAATTGATCACTAAAATTTGTCAAATGTTGGTATCTTTTTCTTGGGTAATATCAAATTTTAACAAAATGCTAGATGGGCTGTAATCCTTCTTCTCGATTGGTCGAATTTGCGCCTACGTCGCAAATTTTGCGACTGGGGTCAATTGAGAAAAATAGGTGTTTGTAGCTAAACCAGGTGGTTTATGAACAATTTCTTAATTTAATTTATGGGCTCGTATTTTGATTACCGGGGGTCATTATTAAAATCAAATAATCATTTGTTCTTGAGTCTAAGAAACAGTAATGTCATAATCAGAAATGTCATGATCCATGCGCATGTAGCTATAAATCCAAGGTAGACATCCGACCACCCGAAGCCCCAGCCTCGCAGCATTATGGACCTCATCGCTGTTGTGGCCAATGTTAGAGGCATAAGTAGAGCAAAATATCTGAAATTATCAATTTATTATATTTTATCATGAAATAGGCTATTGAGTCATTAAATATATATATATATATATATATATATATATGATGCCCAAACATATTTTGTGCTTGTACGATTCGCTTAGAAGTAATGGAAGTAGATTACATATTTCATCAGAAAAAAATTCTTTATTCTTAAAAACATGACATCAACCTTCTAAGTAGAGGCAACTCCTTAACGTCCCCAATGATTACTCCTAACATTTTGCATTCTCAGAATTTCTCAACGACCTAAAAGGAAATCCCATAACCTGCGGCAACGGTCCGAGAGGTTGCAAAGGCAATATTATCTCAAAATTCCCTAGTTTGACTGGACTATGGGATTTTCTGGCATTGAATCGAGAATGGACAGCTCGACATTGATTGGTCGATTTAAACGGCTTCCATACAAGAGACTGGGTGGACATCCAGATACCAGGTTTCTTAGTACCCTCACGAGCTGTGCTCAGGTGTTCATGTGCTCAACTTTATTTCCTTAGACTAACACATAGCAGGATGCTGAACAAGGTAATTCCTTGCATTCGGGGATATACCTGAGAGGGGGATTTTGTATTCTGCCTGAGGCGATTCTAATTAGGATATAGGATCTCGTTTTTCAGCCAAGGGGCTACGGGCCCGCCATTTTGGCAAGGCCTAGTTGTACAGCAGAGAGTTGGCTTGGCTTTTAACACAGCTAAGATAACAATCAGCTATGAAACTCTCCTGTCACTGTCAAAAACGACCAACATTTCGGCGGAGAAAGTCGAATGTAAATTCCCCTAGTACAAGGACGACAGAGGCTTTAGTACTCAGCAGCGGCCACGTATCATGCCAGCGGTCGCAGATATTCTTTGCAATCGAAAAAATCACACTATTCCGATATGATGTGGTATAGATTGTGTGAATCAATAATAAAAAGTAATATGTTTGTTCAAAAAGATTCGACGACGTATTGATGACTATTTATTTATAAAAAAGTTTTAAAAGTTGGTATTGGTGGAAGTATTTACAAAAAACAGAAAAACATTTTACTTTACTTTTACTATGCATTCTTTGCTGCTGCGATATTCTCAATCCATCCATTTTCAATGTAAATACTGTTAAAACACCGCAATCAGACTTGACACTTCTGACGACTCCTCAACTAGGATGCCCCTACATACACGGTGAATTCTTAATGCGTAACCGGTCGGTAGTTCCGATATTTTAAATACCCCAAAAAGTTGGAAAATATGCCGCAAAGACACCAAAATTATGTGACTGACTGACGGTAGTACTATTTGTCTGGAGTTTTTAGCACTCTCACATTGAAAATGTAATTGTATTGATTATATGGCAGCAGCGTAGAATACATAGCAAAAGTAAATATTTTTCCGTTTCTTGTAAATACTTCCACCTTAAGAAATTAATTTAGAGGCATTTTCATAAATAAATAATCATTGGTCGCTGCTTTTTGGGCCAACATACTCCTTTTTATTATCTACACAAACACACAAACCTCACTCGAAATAAAGGCCGTATCGTCAGTCGTTCCTAAAATTGTAGGACGCCTTTATGGTCTCCCTGATTTTCATAGTTTCCTATTCCGTGTCAGCGTTCTATTTTAAGGTTATGTCACAAACATTTCCATTTGCATCAAATTGATCATGCTTTTGATTTATATCAGCTGTTTTATCAGCCTGAAATTTCCTGCAATTCAAAAAGAAAATATTCACAATACTAGAGCGCTGACGCTAACACGGACTAGTAGAAATCTAGAAATACTCCAGCCTTTTTGAAGGAGAGAAAAGACTATGAAAATCAAGGAGGCCATAGAGGCGTCCTGCAATTGTATGAACGACTGACGATACGGCACTTTAACCTCTTTCATCATTGTACTAGGGGAATTCTCATGCGATTTTCTCCTTCCAAATGGCGGTCATTTTTGACACTGACAGGATAGTTTCATAGCTGATTGTTATTCAAGCTGTGCTTTTACTAAGGGGAGTAGGAGGTAGCAGCTAGGGCACCTAATAGATGTTCAATCCTGCATGGTCGGCAGAAGGTGCCGTAGTTACAGAAGTGCGGGGGCCACCGTCAGAGTCATCTCAGACTATTCAAAACGGACGCCCAAGTTGAGTTTCCGGAGCTATTATTAATAATTGGTGCATTTAATTTAGCGGTCATATTTTAATTATAGGTGGCGATTCGGTACTCAGGTTTAATGATAGTTTGGGCGTTTGTGCTTTACGTTTGTATTATATAATTAAGTATATCATAATTGTCCATTTGTGAATTTTTACGGAATTTTTCATTAGAAAGGCGAAAAGAATTCTGCATTTCCTTAACCAACAAATAAACCTTGGTTAAACGACGGGTGGTTGTATTTAGCCTCCCTCTATCTATTACAAGGTGGCAACGTTAGCACTTACACGAGGTCAATTTTATCAATCTTCATTACTGGACTTAAGTAATCTGAATTTCAAGAAATCAGATTATTTGCAAGTAATATGCTATTAAACTATTGTGCTTGAAAATAGCAAACCAGGAACCTGTCATTTTGATAGTTCATTAATTAATAATAAATTGGTGCACTGAATCTTAGTGGACAGTTGAGTAAAATTAATTAAACAATTGTGTTATGATTCAATTAAATTAGTTTCAAACAACTTTTTAGAAAAAGTAGTTTTCTGAGGCTAAATATGTCTGTTAGTTGTCGCATAGTTGATTATCCTTTTTAATTGGATCAACTAAAACTTCTAATTGGTTCTTTTAAACTTTTTTCTCAGTGTAGTAAACACGTATATAGTGCTGATCAAAATCGTTTTCTTTTTTAGGTTTCCATGTGTACGAAAGGGAGAGGGAGAGAAAGAGAGAGTGAGATAGAAAGAGTGCGCCATATAAGCGTTGAAACCACTTTGCCTAGCAACAACGGTGGGGAAGGACGCGGAATGTGGCTGTAACTCTTCCCCCACCGTCGTTGCCAGGCAAGGTGGTGACCACGCTTATATGACGCACTCTGTCTAAACGTTTCACTCGCTTCTCTTTCTCGTATACATGGAAGTCTAAAAGGGGAAGCGACTTTGGTCAGCACTGCATATTTGTAAGCACAAGTGATTGACAGTGCTGCGAGCGCCGGTAAAACTTTAAATTGGATCTGGTGTCTTCTGGTCTGTTAATTACCTTAGTCCCCACGGCAATGCCTCAATAGGCCATAAGACCCCGCTGATCATCAAAGTGGGGTAGAAACTACCCAACGCCAACTGAGCAGCGTCTCTTTCCTGAGTGCAAACAGCAGAGATAAGAAAACCGAAACTCATTCCGCACAATCCTTGGAGCAAGGTCAAGGCCACGACGAGTGCCAGATTGCCAATGCACTTTAGTTGGAAGATGGCGAACATTACGATCAGAACCAGGACTGTTTGTCCCACCATGATTATGAATTGGGTCAGAACGTGACAGACGAGGATTTCAGCTGGACCAATACCTGTTTGGGAAAGAATGAAGTATTAGTTATCATTCATTTGAACTTAAAATGAATTACCGATCAAAGTTTTTTGAAGAACATAAGAAATAACTCCAACTGTTCAACTTCCCAAACAGAATCAATATCGTTTTAAGAAAACGCCCTTACTTTTGCATAATGGTTATGTTTATTATCACATTTCTACGTGGTAAATCTGAAATTTTCCTGACAGCATTCTGTAACATACTGTACCAGGTGTGTCGTATTCGACCCTCACCATTGGAATCTTGAAAATGGTAAAGGATACGAAGACCCTTAAATGGGGGTAACCAACAAAATGCCGCTTAGAAAGCTTCGAAATTCAAAGTACTTCCAGAGAGGGACCAAAAAGCCAAATTTTCCGAATATCATTTTAATTTTTTCCAGACTTATGGGGTATTGGGATTTTAAAATAAATTGGACATTAATTAGCTTTGTCACTTTTCTTTCTTCATAAGAAGGCGTAATTAAAATTGCAATATGATGACTTGTCTCTTGTCCTCCAGCATCAACTTTATTTTTTCTTATAAGTAGACGCCATGTTGGATCTTTGCACAGATAAATAGAGTTTTCAATTCATAGTAATACAGTTTGGAAGACTGAGAAGAAGAGAAATGAACGGACCAGCGAACAATGTACAGAGGAAGGAGGCATGCTTTGCATACAAAATAACGGACATCAGTTTGAACATCTGCTATGATTTACCTCGGGTTATTTATGATTATTGTTGTTATTTACATCAATGAAATTTCCATTTTGTATGTCTAACCATACCTTTTTATGTAATTACGATTTTCCTTCAAAGAACAAACTTTTGGCCATCTAAGGAAATACAACACTGAATTTAGGAACGAAACGTCATATTGAAATTCTAATTATGCCATCTTGTAGAAGAGAAAAAGTAGCAATGCTAAACGTAAAATTATTTTTGATATCCCACTATAAATAAGTTCCGGGAAAAATTAAAACGATTTTGTGAAAATTCGGTTTTTCCGTCTCTCTCCGGAAGCACTTTGAATTTCGAAACTCTCTAAGCGGCATTGTCTAAACTACCTAAATACGCAACTTTGCCCTCATTCACGCGATTTCGTATCTTCTACAGTTTCCGAGATCCCAATAAGGGTCGAATTTGAAACACCAGGTATATTCCAATGATTTACCTGCAACATATGATCTGTCCAAGAGTCCTTCCTGCTTCTCTGTTATCAGTACCGATGACGTCACTGCTACAGCCAGAAAGAAGACGATTCTACAAAGAAATTGAACATAATTTAAATAAAAATTACGAAACTTTTCTCAAGCAACGTAGGACATGGTAATATTGGCTCGACGCTGCCCGTCTAACAATGTTTCTATTCTACTCGTCGTTGCTTCTCAAGGCGGTCCGGATGACCTCAGCCTTTATGTCATAGTCATGTCTGTCAGGTCTGGTGGCCCAGAAATCAGACAAGTTGTAGTCCAGCAATGTGTGCTTTGGTATAATTGTAACATAACCTGCTATAACAGTCCGGAAGGTGGCAAACCGCAATTGAAAACCGAAATTAGCACATTCCTACAGCAATAAAGTAATTATTGATTTGATGTAAGTTTACTGTGAGCGTCTTCAAGATCCTATTGATACTCCGCGAGTGTATTAATGTATTCAGAACGTGCCGTCGTCCTCGATATTTCCATCCGAGCTGCGTAGGTTGGTTTATAACGTACAGAACCTGTCTGAGTGAAGACAGTAGAAAGAATACCTAGACAGCCCCGAATGTGCAAAGGAAAAGGGTTAATAAGACCGGTTTTCGGCCTAAATTCACTTTGGATGAAAATGTTCAAAATTAGTTCCTGTAGTATCTACTAAAAATACTAAGTCGATTCCATCCCAAACGGACCACTCCTCCTCACCTAGTGTCTCCCAACCACCGCTTGAAGTAGTGAAAATACCAGCGCCTAATAATAGCATTTTTGAATACATTCGTCACTGGCAAATTAATATCATCTTAATAACATACTACTAAGTCTGTTTTAACTATTTTTACTATTATTTATCACTTTTTACGTTTTTAACCCTTTGAGGAGAGTGTGGGGAGTGAAAAGACAAGCGGTTTATTTACAACACAGGCCTACAGAAAACGCGCACTTTTATTTACTTGTTTGATATGCATGATTTTAGATGCATTTTTGTCACGAATCAGTGGTCAGTTTTGCTCTACCCTCCTTCAGTCTTCTGGAAATTGTTAAATACACTCAGAAAAATGAAGACATTTTAAGAGTGATTGGCTCTGCGCATGCGATATATGATTTCGGAGTATTTTTGCCTCTGCACTTCCCACGCAACGCACATAAAGGATTATCTTCAGCACAAACCAGACCCTCTGAGAAAAAAGTCAGTCATATAGGTCCATTAACATTATTTTCCGGCCCTACCGGCAGTTCATCTCACGCATTAACCCTGTCAGACGTGTCAGCGCGGCCAGAGGTCAGAGCATAGCGTGTAATGCGCGTCCCACACGATGCATATACAGGGTGACTTCGAAGTTGAGTCATTTATTTTAACAGTGAGTAGATCTGATCAAAGAAATGTTTTTCTCCTTTACCATTTTTCTGGTAAAATTAAAGTAACAAAGTTATAGCCCTTTGGAAGTTTGAGTACCGCCCTGTCTCAATAATAATATCATGTGCTCGTGTTTGGCAACAACGGATATAATCCGCCTTATCGGTTCATCGCATCGGAAACAAAAAAGCGAAAGAATTTGGAACGAAGTTTTACAATTATTTCATTCAGTTGTATACACTATACAGTCAGTGTCAGTCGGTAGTGAATAGTGGTTTCTGTTGCGTGGCTTAAACGAAATAAAAAATGGCACATGTTTATGCGGATCGGTTCCCAATCGAGTGCAACCAACCCCTCGTGCCTTTGTTAATGTAGTAGAACGGGCTCGTGAATCAGGTGACTTAAGACCTCACAGGGAACCTCACGATCAAATACAGGTCCGCACTGAAATACTTGTCGGGAGGATACTTTATAAAACAAGGTAAAAAAAATTTTTTAATTTTTTTTAATTTTTACACACATATTTTGGTTTATCTTCCTTCTATAATCATTATCTGAAAATTAATGACTCAACTTCAAAGTATATATACAGGGTACGGCACTGGAATGTGACACATTTTAACGCGCCACTGCCTGACACATGAATGGGTGGGGAGTTCTGTTTATGACTGTGTTTGTTATTGTATGCAGCTTAGAGTTTAGTAGCTATGGAGAATTGGCCGGTTAATCAACGCGAGTAGATGTCTTATGGGGATTCGGTCTCAAAACTTCCAAAATCCGCCACCAGAGGCGCTGGCGTCGCGCGCCATTGACTGGTTGTTGGACGGAATCTGTAATCGAAATTCATGAGTTGGGGATTCCGCCGCTAGATGGCGC